CAGACGACAGAGTCCAATGATGGGAGAAAAACAAACAACAAAAAAACAACTAGGAGCTGGTCCGGCCAGACGAAAGAGTGACATACAGGGTGAGGAAGCCATGTAGACTTGTGTCACAGAGCGGACGACGATGTAGTGTGGTCGTATGTATCGTCCACCAACTATCGTCAACATGGGTAGGCATTGCGCGCCGGAAGGGGAAGTGATGACCGCGAGATTATCGAGCGGGCACGGTGGAGGGGTGGCGTACACTTATGAACACTGGGCAACTGGCATCAAACGCCATAGCATTCTGGCAAGACCGTGCGAGCGGAGGCAGGAGCAAAATCATGCGCCAGCTTCAAAGACCACAACATCACACTACCACCAAGAATAGCAAGCACCCACCAACGGGGAACAAACTCACCTCGGCTTCCGCTCTCTTGGCAGCCTCCTCCTTTTCATCGACGATGCCGAACCGTTCCATGCGTTTTTTCCTCTTGGCCTCCTCCTCGGGGTTGAGCGACCTCTTGGTGCCTTGCTTACCGCCCGCCGCCTGCAAGCAAAAAAAACATGCCGGTGTTGCGGGTCGGTTGAATACCGAAATGGGTGGTAAAGGGAATCGACACAGAAACAAAAATTCGAGAACACTTGCGAAAGTCGTCTGGTTCTTCCGCCCAAAGAGATGGCCGCCACAACAAGAACCTTTGAACCGGCTATTGTGCTCCTCAACCTCCCCTTGTTATTCTCCCCCCTCCCCTGCTGGTATCCTTGGCTCCATCACATCACCCCACCACTGCTGTGAGCGCTCCATCCCTCAAGATCTTCAACCGCACCCAGACGACACGTATTTCGCCGCACCGCGGCACTCACCGGCTCCGGCAGGCCGAACTTCTCCCGGCGCATGGCCATCTTCTCCGCCACCTCGCGCTCGGTCACCGGAGCGATGCGGCCAAACCTTTCCACGCGCTTCGCCAGCCGCATGGCTTCCGCAGCGGCGGCAGCATCCGTGGCGGTGACGACAGCAGGAGCGGCGGTAGCCGTGTCAGCAGCAACCTCACCGTCGGCCGTAGTAGAAGCGGGTTCTGCCGGGGCGGCGGGTGTCGCCTCCTCCTGCTCGTTCGTGGCACAGGCAATGGAAAATTGGAGTCGGATATCTCGCGCTAGTAGTGCTGTAGATGAGACGCGCTGTTTTAACCCTGGGCAGAGGTATCCGCTCTCGCCCGTAACGCCGGAGCGTTGGAATATTCACGACTTTTGCAACTGCACACCCCAAACCTCAAGCGTTCACCAAGACCTGCTCATGTTAGGTCGCGTTGCCTGCGACGCACAGGAGGAGTAGACGGGTGGCGTGGGTTTCTGTTGCGAAATAATGCTGCAAGGTCGAGGTCATGGAGGTTTGATTTTATGCCTTGACGGGAACGGGCACAAGAGCCACCGATGGATAGAGGTCAGCACGGTCCAAATGTAGACACAGAAACAGCTACACCACTTGGTAGCCTGGCCGCTGGAGGAGCCTGTGCCAACACACAACATCCTCCAGGCGCACAGCAAAGTGCGCGCTGTTGCTACTCTGGAGCTGTAAACAGCAGCAGCAGTCCCTGTGGGCATTGAATGCAAGGAGGGGTGAAAAGATAGGAAACACTCACGGCGGTTGTCGCAGGCGTGGCTTCCACCGCGGGTTCTGCCGGCTCTGCCGCGGTTCCATTTCCCGCCTGCATTCGTACCACGGGTGTGCGGACGATAAATAGCAAGTTGAGAGGACGGGGGTGTTGTCTGACTATTTAGGTTACATTACAACTTGCGCAAAAAACAGCTCAAACTGGATACGTACAAGTGCATATTAGTGCATGTAAGCGACGTTCGTGCAGCAGGAGAGACGTTTGTTATCAAAACAACGCCACAAACCTCGGTTGCAGCATCGCCGACAGTCGGTGTAGGCATGCTGATAGCGCCAAACTCTTCCTCGTCGAGGGCCGCCTGCAGCCGCTGGGCCAAGTCTGCCTTGTTGCCCTTGACATCCAGGCTCCTGCTTGCCAGCTCGGCTTTCAGCTCGGAAACCTTACACCATGGATTAATTGCAGAACACAGCAGAGTCGGGTGGACGCGGTGTTGGCACTACACTGCAAAGTCTCGGCTTGCACCGGCGGCAACCCTTGATGAGTTTGGAGGCCGCACTGTGGATCCTCTGTGAACGAATCGGAGGGAAGTTCTGGTCACGCGCGGAGTGCGGAAACACCTTTCGTATGGTAGGTGACACCTTTTGACACAAAATAGCTGGCAATTCTTAACCCAAACCAAACACCTGACTACGACACGACTTCGCGTCAAGATCAACCAGTGAAGCATCTACTGGTCACGCGTAGATGACGCTTTCTGCCGGAAGCATGGCTCCGAAGAACACTCCGTGAGCGTCCCCAACGCCAACCGCCGACCGCCCTATCCCTATCCTGACCCAAAATTACGAGCAGCAAGCAGCAGACGTTTATACCCACCTTAAGCTTCGACACATTGATTTCGCTCATGGTGGTTAACGAGCCAGCAGAGGAGGAGATCAACGTCGGGTAGACGCTGGGAGGGATCGGGGCTTCCGTGCTTCCGTCGGCCTACTGACTGTTGTGCGGCGCGAGCTCGCGTGCGAGAACGGGGGGGCGTGGTACCAAAATATACCAAGAGCAGGGGGCACCATTTTCCTTCTGGAAACCTTGTTCTCCGTAGATCTGACAACCTCCGTAAGGACCCCGCTCCATCTACCATCTACCCGTCCGGTGTCTGGATACACAGCGAAGGGACAGAGGGGGTGTACGGGTGATCGCTCCTCGCCAAAACTGCATAAATATCTTGGGAGCATACCTCTCTTTTGGATCACCTCTACTTGCTCGCTGCTGCACCGAACAAGGAGCCAGGACAACTGCTGCCCATCATCGGCATGGTGGACATCAGGCCTCCAAATCTATCCGCAGCTCGATGTCAGCACGACGAGGTGAAAGGACGCGTCCGAGATTCACCCCATGGCTTCTTCCTCCAGCTGATTCTGTGTCGTTGTTGCTGTTAGGGTATTGGGGCAACGGGATTACGGTTGGTTTCGATGTGTACGTCGAGCTTCATACAAACTTTGCCACCAAAACACTCATCCTGTAGCAGCAGTGGCACATGCACACGCTTCCTTGTCATTCACGGTCACGCGGGATACCCTCTCTCCCGTGAATGTTGCGTCCTGATCGAAATGCTCATAGATGGATGAAGACCATTCTACTGTGACGGCAACCGCGTCCACATCATCATACCAGAGCGGAGGGAGTTACAGCAGTGTTGCGGATACCCACCACTATCGACAAGGTGTGGTATATAAATCCTACGACTGACTGCTGTGGTCTGTACAATAGTGGAAGGGGGTTGCATTCGCTGTTGACGGCCACGCTTACACGCTGATATTCACGGAGTACCGGAAAGTGAGCTCTGCAGTATGACCCTCACCACACACCAGCAGCGTTGCCAGCATTTCTTGCAACATGGCTTTGACAAACGCCTTCGTATCACGAAAGCGAGGAATTATGTGTTGCCTCCAAGCAGCAATACGTTCAACAGCATGGGCAATTTTGCCTACAGGTCGTGGTTGTGCGGACAAAGGGAAACCCCGCCCACGAGGACCGAGAGAGCAAACTCTTGAATGTGATCGCTGCCAGAGTAGGTGAAAGTTGGCGTTCGAGTGCACCACGCGCGGAGAGTGCATCACCACATTCATCCCGTCAGCAATTCAACCCCCACCCAGATGACCATCTCGACTACAGCCCACAAGCGCCGAGAAAACCAATGAGCAGAAACAAATGTTCTCCCGCAATCTACCGCGACTGCAATCCCCGTAGAAAAGTACCCAATTTCCGTCCATCGTACGTGCTCCGAGCGTATCTCACATTGTGACCGTTGCGCAAGATCACCTGAACAAGCAAGTGCGTGTTGTTGTTGTTGCTTGTTGTTTTTCTTCACATTAGCTCGTGTCAGTTGCTAATCCCAAAATCTAGCAAAGACTCGGTCCGTGGTCACAA